GACTTTGGCTGTTGTGTTTTGGGAGAATTTCTTTTTGTTTCTTCCTTACTGTATGCTCATTAAACCAAACCAATCCAAGGAGCAAATCAACATCAGGAAGAAAACTATGTTTTTTTAGAAAAGAGCACAAGCTGTACTTGTATGATGGATATTCTGATCATTCTGGTTAAGAAGCAAAATAGAGGAAAGAAGCATAATCACAGAAAAGGCAAAGATGCCGAGAGACAAGTAGGTGCAGCAGTATAAGGAAGGAAGGCAGCCATGCTACATAATACAGTTTGAAAGCCCATTGGGGTATCTCTTGCCCATATAAGAACAACTGTCTGTTGACAGTGTAAATGGATTTTCTGTGGGAACATCTCCACAGAGTCAGCTTGATAAGTGGGACTCTAAAAATTGCTGAGAGCCCTAACTAAAATTTCCTCAGCATAAGCATTTATGTGCAGATGTAAGAACTAGCCCACACATTCATTACAGCTTATTCTCTATTTTGCCTCTTGTAAAAGCATCAGGGTATTTTCAGATCCATAGCAGCAACCTAGATAGGTCACAAGTGAAATGCCTCAGCCCCTCAGAGGGCAATACACGATATCTACAATGACATATTATGCTATCATGGATGCCAAGGTCTTCACTAGATCTCCTTATTTGGAATGTTTCTGTAATTCCTCCTAAGTGGTGGCAGATGACTTCATCAAGAAAGAACTACATTGACCGAGAACATCCTTTCTTCTGATTTAATAGGTAAATAAATAGGCAGAGTTCTTCTTTCTTGACTTTTGAAGAATAACTAAAGATCACATTCCTTTGTACTAGAAGAGTCTCCGTGTGGTCTCAGCAAAAGAAGTGTCAACTAACCCTTTCATAGTGGTTAGCAGTGTATGAGATACAGTGTTCACCCCTGAGCAATAAGAAGCCAGGAGCTAGAGCCACCAGAAAAAAGCCCAACAAAGCTATCTCACAAAGAAAGAAATGTATACAAGAATAGCTTCTTCTGTCCCAGAGGGATTTTTTTGGGGGGAGGTCATTTGACGATGTAATAAAAATCCTGTTTCATAGGGCTTTTGCCAGTTAATTGAAACGTAGTCCTGTCACAAGCTATTGACTGATTCCACCTCCCTTCAGCCAAAACTGCTGATCACACTGAGATGGTATGTAGGCTGCTGTAAATGTAAGCCCAGCATTGATTGTGGTGAACTTTCCCGGCACATTCTACTTTTGGCTAATTCAACATCTGATTGACAGTCTGCACAGTTAAAAGAGCTAGAGAATCAAATGATACCCATTTCGATCTCTTGTGTCTGTGAATTTAGTTATTAGCATCCTTTTCGATGCTGCTGTGTTACAGAAACAAAATGCATGAAAAAAGGCTCTTCATTTGACCTCTGAGCTTGCTTAAATTTTATCACAAGACCACACTGGCCTTTAATGGCAATCAAACGCCTATTGTAGAAATTGCAGTTGATTCTGAATTAAAGCCATATCCCAGATTCAGGCTATTGTCATGCACCCAGCACCCAGCCAACATTATTTGTCATGGGATTAAATCAATCCCATGAAAGACAGTTCAGAAAAGCTCTCTCTTCACAGAAGCTGCCAGGGAAAATGGAGACATTTCACATGTGTCAAACATGTTCAGATTGAAGTACCCCCCTCCCCCAACAAACCTCCATGTGTGGAAAAAAATAAAAAAATATTAACACAGAGGTCTAACATCTAAGCTCAAAGGATCTCCAAATTTTGTCATCCTTTTACCAAATTGCATTTGGTTATTTATACATTTTAAATACCCTGAGTTTGCTTGCTGCTTCCAAAAAAAGGCTCCAGCCTTTGCCTTTCTAAGTCACTCTTTCTGGTTTCCTCTTGGCAATAATAGCTTTCTACATCCATGTGCCTCTGAAATGGAACGCCTAACCAGCTTCTACTTTTTAAAAAAAAGTTACAACCAAGCTAGCAAAGGACATTGCTCTTGAAAGAGCTGTAAAAATGACACACCTCCTCCCTTCCCTTCTTGTCTCCCCAGTGTTTTCTAAACTAAGTAAAAATAAATAACATTTCTAATAATGCATAGGACCTGGTGATGACCACAAGGGCAGTGCAGTGAGATGCCAAATGTCATCTGACATAACTTTGCAAAATAAATAAGTGAAGCTTGGTTTCATGTCTAGTTTGGTGGATCAATGGCAGCTTCTGGGGTTCTAAAGTGTACAAATAAATGGAAAAGATCCCAAATCCCATCTGCAGCACTACGTCAGGCATGCTGTTTCCATGTCTGTTTGTTTGCTTTCTGACAGGGCTGTCCAGAACAGCTTTCCTCCTGAAAGGCCCAATTTTCACCACAGCCCAACCAGAGCAGTTAAGCATTTCCCCTCCTTGAACTGTGGCATCGTGAAGGGGGAAATTCCTCCCAAACCACCAATGTTACTGTTATCCCTGCCAGTGATATTTAGAAAATGTGGATATGTGTGCATGTATATACAAACCCACACTGCTATTTCAGTTTGAATGCCGAATGCCAACCCTGTTATTTTCCACTAACAGTTCATAATGCTGCCTCCAGACTGATGTTTCCAAAGCAGATACAGAAGCCAGGAAATCTGAAGGGATGAAGGTTTCTTTTCCACAGGCTTTCCCTGTGAGGTTGCCCACTGGCACAGAGAATGGCCGTTTTTGAAGAGTATTCTTCGCTTGGTTGCAGATTAATCTCGAGTTCGGTTTCTTCTCCTGAAGAAGAAGAAGCTGGTCTTTTGGGGAGGGCCTAGCAACATTGGCACTTGGCTTTTGTGGGTAATTTTAATCTGCAAACAAAAGAATCGACACCAGTAGCATCAGAATTAGATTGGCGATTTTGCACGCAGCCACTATTCCAAGAGGTTACAGAGTGAGAAGATATTTTCTTCTGGCAGAAATAGCGATGCTGCGTGGTCTACTGCATTCTATGCTTTTGTGGAATTATGGAGAAAATTACAGATTAAGTCCACCGCGTTAGAAACTGATGCTGAGGGGAAGAGGGAGCAGTGCTTGAGGGCTCAAGTGCCTTTCCACATGGGCTGGTGCTTAGATAGGGTTACCAGCTCAAGGTTGGGGAATTCCTAGAGATCTGAGGGTGGAAACAGGGGAGGCTGAGATTTGGAGAGTGGCGGGATCACAACCGGGTGTAATGCTGCAGAGCCCATCCTCCAAAGCATCCATTTTCTCCAGAGGAACTGATTTTTGTAGTCTGGAGATCAGTTGTAATTATGGGACATTTCTGGGCCCTACCTGGAGGTTGACAGCCCTAGAAGAAACTGAGCCCAAAGGAAAAGTGAAGAAGAAGAAGAGGATCTCCTGAGCTACTTTTGATTCTGTCACCTTCTCTAGGTTGCCAACCTCCAGGTGAAGCATGGCATTCTCCTGGAACTACAACTGTTCTCCAGACTCCAGAGATCAGTTCCCCTGGAGGAAATGGCCCCTTTGGAAGGCAGCCTCTATGGCACCACTCTCTGTTTAGCTCCCTCCCTTCCCCAAACTCTGCCCTCCCCAGGATCCGCCCCTAAATCCCCAGGAATTTCCCAACCAGGACTTGGCAACACTGTGTCTGATTTTGGTTCACTTTGCCCCCCACCCACCTCCAATGCTGGCAAATAGGGCAGCAAAAGGAATACGGCCAGGCAGTGCTGAGAAGGATACGTAAACCAGGATGTGACTGGATAAAGGGGGGAAACACTGGATGCTCCCAGAGTGGGAAGCTTAGGAGGGAAAAGAGACGTGCAGTGTTCTCTGAGGCCTAAAAGGTCTGTCCAGGCATAGGCATACCAGCTTCTTTCATGGTTGCATAATTTTTCAAATAAAGAGAGCTTTCCCCAGAATAATCTGGAGGGGATGGGGGAAAGAGAGATTATTTGACATTGCTTTTGGTAACATCAAAACAGGGGCAGTCATCATTCAGAGGAGTCCTTCCTTGGTCCCTACCAATGACTGACTGAAGATTATGATCCATAGACTGTGACAAACCTTTACCAAATATGATCTATCAGTGATATTTAAAAAACAGTATATGCAAACCTACACCTTCCACTATTTTATATGGATCTGGTTGCCAGCCTGGTAATGTTTTACAAACTATTCATATTGCTTCCTCTATATTGTTCTGACTAAACAGGGATATGGTTGCCAGCCTCCAGGTGGGGCCTGGGGATCTCCCGCTTTTACAACTGATCTCCAGCTGACAGAGATCAGCTCCCCTGGAGAAAATGGCTGCTTTGAAGGGTGGACTCCATGGCATTGTGCCATGATGAGGCTACTCCCCTCCCCTCCCCAAACCCTGCCCTCTCCTGGATCCACACCCAAAGTCTCCAGGTATTTTCCAATCCAGACCTGGCAACCCTAAACAGACTAACTGGGGCTGTTTGCTTTCCACTCTATTTAGGTAGTGTATTTCTGGCCACAGAGTCACTTTCTTCGTACTCCCATTAGAGAGAAAAGAACATTCTTTTCTAAGTTGGTCCTAATACTGCAAACGGGTGGGTGCCCTCATTTTAATGCAGCATGCAATACCAGAGCGTGAGGCAGGAGCAATGTGTGGAGAATGATGCATGGTGTAGAGAAAGTGATGGAGGAGGGGAGGGACATATATGCCACCCCGAGCTCCTTAGAGGAAGGGTAAAAAAAATACAACAGACACACATGGAGGATTACTTATTAGTCGTTAATGGCTACGAGTCATAATTGCTAAATGGAACCACCACACTTGGAGATGGTAGGTGTCTGAATACCAGTTGCTGGGGATCAAAAACACGGCATCTGGCTTGTGGATCTTTGGTGGGCATCTGGCTGGTCATTATGGGAAACAGAATGCTGGACCAAACAGGCTACTGGTCTTATCCAGTACGCAGGGCTGATTTCAGGTTTTTTTGGGCCGTGGGCAGACACAGCCCACGGGGCCCCACCTGCCTAGTTCCAGGCCCCCCCACCCTCCTTTCCACTCCCATACCCGCGTGATACCCCACCTGCTCATGCGGCCTTCTCCCGCTTGCAAGTCCTGACACTGTCCATGCTCAGCTGCCTGCTCCACTTGCGCACCCTTTTCCTGACAGCACAGGCCAGTGTATGCAGCAGAGAGTACTGCTGCCATGGCCACCAGGTGTGTCGCCACTGTGAACAACCCACATGCTCTTCCTCAGTGACTCTGGGCAGCTGGAAGCATGGGTACAGGCAGGTGGCAGAGGAGGTGTATGGGTGAAGGTCAGTGGCAGTGGGCCCCACCAGGAGTCCTGGGCCCCGGCAGCTGTTCCACCTAGGGTTTGCTGGTGCTGGCCCTGCCAGTAGGGCTCTTCTTTTTACATCTAGAGTAAACTGCAGCTGTAAAAAGGACCTACTTGCTGTTCCACCTCCTCACTTGATACTTGAGGCAGCAAGTGACGCTTCAACTAGGAACGAATTGCAAGCAAGGAAGGAAAGGACAAGTTTGTCAAGTTCTCTCAGTAAAATGAGCACGGGTGTTTATCAGAGTGCCTGCTGAAGGAGCGAGATGGCCCCGAGATAGTCCAGTCATTAAGCTCTATGGGTGGTTGTGGAGGCAGCAAAGGATCAGGGCAACCCCCAGAGATGGCTCAGGAGAGGCAGGCTTGCTAAGAAGCTGTATCAGGCATTTCTTGTTTGACCAACCATTTGTCATAAGGTTAAGGCCTTAAAGGCCTGTGAAGGCTGGGAGCCGCCATCGAAAATCATGCACAAAGCGAAACCAAACCTCCAGATGTCCCCAGGTGCTTAGCACAATTGTTTTTGGGAAGATCTGTAAACAACCAACTGGGCTGAATTATAGCCATTGCTGTACTATGTAAGCATTTTGGTGGTCAGTAAGAAAAATATCCATGGTGCCACTCCTTTAGCACTGATGTCATTTGTATGTAGACACGAGTGCTAAGAACCTTTATTTTCAACAGAAATGCATCTTTTGTAACATTCTGATCTAATCAGATACAGACAATGTGTGCCTCATACTGTTTTTCTGGCATGTTTTATACATCCTCCTTTGATCCTCAGAGGGAGGACACAGATGCAGATACCCTGAAAATACACTGTCTCTAGCACTCTCCAAACTGTTACAGTGATGCACATAGCCACAGATCTTTCCATTTAAATTGTCTTTGAATTTCCATTAGGTATACAAATCTGACTGCCATGGCAGCCATTAGGATATCACATCAAAGGAAACAGGAACAGGATGATTCCTCCTCCTAAAATTGCAGGAGGGTTTTGCTAGGGCAGGGGTGTCGAACTTATTTGTTATGAGGGCCAGATCTGACATAAATGAGACCTTGTTGGGCCAGGCAATGTGTGTCATAAAATGTAATGCCAGGTAGCGGAGATATAAACTTTATAAAGGACACAAAATAAAATAAAAACATGCTTAAAACATTAGCACTCTTGCAATGTTTTGTTTATTTAACAGTGTCTGATAACTGACACCTCTCGCTCTGAATAATTGCATCAAAATGTCCGTGCTGTTGCAATCTTGAGTATGCTGTTCAGGTGTGCATCTGTAAGCTGCAAACCTACGATCACGCAGCAGCAGCAGAACTGGAAGAAGCAGCAGAAGACAGCCAGTTCCACTGCGGGCCTGATAGAAGCCCTCTTGGGGCCTAATTTGGCCCCCGGGCCACATGTTTGACACCCCTGTGCTAGGGCATAAATGTTTATTTCCATTTCAAGCAAAAATTTAATTTGAAATACCATCCTTTCCTAGGCTGTACTCATACTCTCTAGGAGTAAGCCTTCTATGGTCTATAGCACTGATAGGTAAATTCCATTCATATGTCCTAGATCCTTTCCCATCTGTTCAACTACTCACTGTGCAGGGGGGCTGCATCCAGGGCTCTCCATCTACTTGCATGGGCAACAGCTTGGTTGTCCTGGAAAACACAAACAAGACACAGTGGAGACATGAACTGTGTGACAAATGCATACCAATGCTGGAGCCGTGTTTTTGTTGTACTGCAAGGTGGCAATGAGGGATTTATAGCAAAGAGCAAGGTTAGATGCAGGGAAGGCCCTGTATTGTTTGTGTGGGTTGCTTAGGTCTTCTAGTAATTACTGAGAATGAAGATGTCAGCCAGGGCTGGGCAACCTATTGATGGGTACAAGGGCTACGCTAATTTTGCATAATTCAGACACTTAACATACTTTGGCTGTCATTTATATGAACCTGTAAGCTGCAAATCTACAGGTGGTAGCTCTTATAATTTCTCTAGCATATTCTTGATGTGCTTTTTTTCTAGGCTTTTCTCTGACAAAACTTGCCTCTGTGCTTCCATGGAAGTTTTTTTGCTACCCCATCATCAAGTGTATTTCTGCAACCTTGAGAGGGGCTCTTTATTTAATGATCATGGACACAGAAACATGCTTATGAATAGGTTCTTCCTCACCAGCAGGCAATGGTCCCAGCACCTGCATGGAGATTTTTGAGCTACTGCATCATCATGTTACCCTTCTCTTAAACTGGCTGCCTATGGCCTCTGCAACCAGGCAGCTGCCTCTCCTGAGCTGCACCCCTCAGCCTGGCCACTCATCTCCTTTGTGCCGTCTCTGCAGCAGGCATCAGTGAGGTGGGAGTATCCCACGGCCCTTCTCACATATATCTGGTACTCCATCTGCAATGCAGAGTGCTGCATGGGCCCACAGACCCACTTCATTCCTATGACTGCATTTGTACAAGATAAAAAGCACAACAAGAAAGAGATGTCATATGCTTTTCTAAGTACTGCAATTTCACGTTTCAGAGACACAGAACACTGTTCAGAGCTCCCAAGAAGCTGGGGCACAAATTTTGTGCTAGGACTAAGGACCTGGGCTGGGTACCTGATGGTGACGGAGGAACACTGGGCCAGCCTCTTGCCAGCACTTTTCAGTCCAGTATAGATCTGTCCCATCTCCATAGCCCCTTCAAGTCCCACAACTTCCAGGAGCTGATCACTAAGGTCTGAAGAAATAAAGAAAGATAAACATGTTAATAAAGCAAATGAAAGTATGGCTTGGTTGCCATGCAGGCATAATACAGGAGGAAGAGTCACAGCTGAAACTGAAAAGAGGGTCTGGAGAAAACCTTTGTCAGGTGCCTCATTTGTTCAGAAGGCCTCAGGCTCAGTTCTTGGCACTGGACCGATCAGACTTCCCTCTGAGGGCCGAATGATATTAGATGCTGCAGCTTCATGACTGGAACTCGAGATGTGTCCTATGGCCCTAAAAAGCAGCCACAGGGATAGGGCAATTTGGACTGAGGGTGTGGTGCCCTTTTCCCCACACCATTTCCCTGATCAAAAATATCCTCTTCTGCCCAGGCAGTGGTTAGCTCTGGAAGGGGGGGAAACAGGTACCCATAGTGTGCCCATCTCCCCCCACACACTAGGGTTTGAACCAGCCTGGGACATTTTCTATTAAGGAAATGGCACGGAGGAGAGTTGCCCCCCTTCCCTGGAGCCCAATACAAATTGGAGGCATCTGCAGCTGCTTTTTAGGGCCAAACAACACATTTGGAGCTCCTTTCATGGAATTCCAGCATCACAGGTACTTTAGTCACTCATGCTGCCTATCACAGTAGGAACTACTGGGCTGGATGGTCAGAGTCAACATAAAGCAGTTCCTGAAGTGTCAAAACAAACTGAGAATACTTACTTGGATGGGGGGAATGGGGATAATTAACCTGAAAAATGGTCTCTGGGACAAATGGGGTTCAGCTTCCTTGCAGGTACTCGCCTAGAAGGCACAATATGGCACAAGAAGTAGTTCTGTTGCCTGTCATCCATATCAGGGGCACTGGGGAAAGAACAGCATTTCCCCAGCAACAACATACTGTTGATTGTGTGCAAGAAAAATGTTACATCCTTGAAGCAGAAGCGCTTCCTTTATGCAGATCCTGGGCAACAAGTGAATTTGCACAGCTGGTAATACCCCTTAGCAGCTCCTATTCATTTCAGTTCAACTTGAACAGGAGACTCTCTTGAGGGAGCACTACATCCTGTGCTGAGACCACATTGCCCTGCACCTCCCATTGAAAAAGAGACTGTTCAAAACCCAATGCACAGTTGGCGCATGGGATTTAGGCAACTTCCCTCAAGCAAACACTCTGGTTTCAAGGATATAATATTGCTCCAGCATTCACAGTGATGACAATGATAACAAGCTAGGACTTGCCTTGTCCCTTTTTGATGTTTGTCACATTCACTGGCCTGAATACAGCTCTCTCTGTGTGTGGTCCAGTCCCCTGTCTTTTTGATGCCTTTACTGTGAGCAGAATGAAGAGACTCTCCCAGAACAATGAATAGCGGAAGAGGAGAAATAAACGTGAAAGCCAAGTGAGCTGGAGACACTCTTCTATTTCACACCCAACCATTTGTCCATGCCAAGCGAGCACCTGCAGCTCTTATAGCCAGAGTCGGTTTCATTCAATCATTTTCCTTCTGCATTGTCCCAAGCCAGCAGTTTCAGTTCCCTAAAGCTAAGCTTGGCTTGAAAGGCCTTGAGAAATCAGTCCTGGTGGCCTCAAAATATCTCACAACTTGGCTTTCCTTCCTTTGCTCTGGTGAGACTGTTGGATTAATATATTCCATCCCCCAAAATGCCCCAGTCTAAAACTTGTCAGAATGTTTGTTTATTATGTTTCTTTTCCCAGGGGTCAGGGAAAGTAATTAATTTGTGGATCAGAGCCATTTGCAGTGCAGACCATAAAGGCCTCTGCTGTTGCATGAGTAATAACATGTGTGCTGCCAAGGTCTCCACAGATCAGGCTGATAGTGAACAATACGAAGCTGTGTCATTAAGCTATTATGTATGACTCTTATATGATGTGTGAATTATCAGGGTTTGTGTGCACTACAGAAGTTGATGCTTCAGAAGGCAGTCATCAACAGTCCTGACAACCACCCTCTACCAACTTTGTATGGATGTGCCATCTGACTTGTTTTTGAGCAAATTACCTGTTATTACTAGTGTGGGCAATGTTAGGGTTGTATGCAACAATATGCTGCTACTGGGGACCAACTTATTCATGAACTGATCTTTCCAAGAGAAAAGGTGGGGTAGGAGAAAAGCCTAGGCAGACTGGACATGGCCTTAAGGTCTTCTGTGACTGGCCTTCTGCTTCATTGCTCTGAAGCTGCAGACCTGGAAGACTCATTTGGGAAAAAAATAGGATTCAAAAAATGTGCTGCCCTCTGCTGCAAATGGGGCTGGTACCAAAAGGCTCGCTTTGAGGATTGCACTGCAAATACTTCCAGACCTTGTTGCCTCTTTGATTCTGCCTCTGTCTTTGACACTCACACATTCTCCTGCATTAGTCATGTTCTGGAGAGAGAGAGACAGAGAAAGCTGTTCTGCCACCTCTTCAACTTCCTTTCCCCTCCTTATATTGTAGCCTGTAGCAGTGTTAAAGCATCCTCTTAATTAGTCATTCTGTGATGCCTAAGTAACGCCTGCTATGCCAAGCTCCTTTCCAGTGCTTTCCGTTTTCTCCCACATGTATATAGATAAGTGTCTCTCTCGTATTTTCAGCCAGGCATGCTCACAGGCAGAGGGTTGCGGGGAAACAGTCATTTTCAAGGCAGAGCCTACCTTTTGCTTGTAGCAGCTCCACCCTTGCCTTGCTGCGCCAGAGTCATTATTAGCGTAAGTCCATTAATATTTAATTAAGTTACAAGATCCGTTTTCTGTAAAGCCTCAGACTCAGAGGAGACCAGCAGGGATTGATTAAATATGCAACCTCTAATGAAATTCATGGTAAAGAGAAATATCAGTTCCTAAAAACTGCCGATTTGGAGTGTGGCACGTGTAACTCTCCGTCCTGAGTTCAATGTACTCATTGTTTGGAGATGTGCAACGATTGTTAAAAGCAAAAGGGATGAAAGAGATAGAAAGGACCCAAAGAGTAGCGTCTAGTTCACCATGAGTCAAACTGGAAAATTCAGAGCAGTGTGTACCACAAGCTGCAGACAGGTAGAGTGCAGAAAAAGGTACATACATGGCAAATAGACCGCTTCATGTGAACAAACTGAGCCACACTTGGCTGTTTCTTCAACAGAAATGTTGGCACTCTTATTGCATTTCCCAAGCTTGGTGTTCAAGCTCCAATTGGGTGTCCCAGGGAAAGACATCTAGCTCTTCCTTGTGGGACTTCCTCTTATGCATAAAAGGAAGCCAGCTATGTTGGCTACAATAAAAATGAGCTAGATCTGCTTATTTTGCTTTTGGGGATAGTGTGTGGTAGACTATCACTGAAAGGGTTGGCTAATTGTCAGGCTGTGCTCTGCCACATCTGCAAAATCTGCTTTGCCTCCTACCATCTCTTTCGGCTTCTGGCTTGCTCAACCAGCTTGGGATTCAATCAGAACCTAAGGAGGAGTGTCACACTCAGCAACCACCCCTGTCTTTTTCTAGATAAGCAAGCAGAGTTTCTGCTGCAAATCAGCTTCAACACCTATCCTGAGTTCCTGGATTCCAAGAACCCTTAACTTGCATTGCTGCTATAACTTCCTTGTGAAGTTCCTATTGGCCTTAAGTATCCACATGAACACACTTATACTGCTTATTTGTTTTGTACCCACATTGGTTGTAAAATAGTCTAGGGTCAACAACTGTGCCTTTGCCGAACATAAGAATCACACCAGTTCTCCACCTTACCTCTGAATACATCTGAATGTTACTACTAGAAATGTTTGGGTTGGTATCTTAATCTAATTATGCTCACAAGATTCTGAACATTGTGCAGTTCCGCAGGGCCTGCAAGACGGAGCTCTTCCACCAGGCTTTTATGTAGGGGCCGCCGCTACCGCCGCTACCACCACTACCAACGGTGGAAATTCTAATGGGATTTGGATCACCCTGGGATGTACGGCCTACCCTGCATGACATTAACATCTACTGAGAGTGGCACCCCAATTGGACTGACTGAAGATCAGAGACGCCATCTACTAAAAACCATCCTGTTAAGAAGCACTACTTATTTATTGTTATATTTAATTGTTGCTATGTTTTTACTGTTTTATGGATTTTATGGAAGCCGCCCTGAGCCCGCTTGCGGGGAGGGCGGGGTAAAAATGCTTAAATAAATAAATAAATAAATTGCCTTTGTAACATTGTAAATTTAAAATCTCTTCAGAAACGTTGACCAGAGGAGGTAAGGATGGGAGGGGCAGCAGCTGGATCCCCTCCCTATATTACATTTCATATTCACAGAGTGTTGTTTTGAGACTTTAATGAGATATGATCTGGCATTTTAACTATAAAATGCAGGTGGGGGGGAGTCAGGTTCACTTAAAGTGCTTTTCCGCCCCTCTCCTGCTGTTGATATGGATGTGTGGAAAAAAACCCAGAAAAGCATTTGGAAACGTGATTGTATCAGGTCGCTGAATCAATGGGCTGTAATACGGGAAGGTTGAGTTACACTCGCACTCCAGCCTTCTTACCCTTTACACTGTCATTTTCACCTAAGGGATGTGGCCCTGTCACAAACTATGAAGTCAGCTCTGTTGTTTCTCCACCTAATCTGGCAATATTATTACTGGCCCAGACAATATCAACAATATCAAAGGCACAATCATCTAATGTATACTAAATGTATGTGCTGCCATCTGCCAACAATGCCCTTTGGCAGCTTAGACAGGATTAGCAGGGACATTTTCATGCAAGAGAATTACGCAAATAAATTAAAACAAATTAGTCACTCACAAACTGTATGTAACAGAAATCATTGGGAGAGAACTTCAGCTTCCCTGGGCATTTCGGCTTTGACAGGTGGGGTGCCATAATCCAACACAGCAGTTTCAAAGGGAAATTACAGGGTGAAATAGTAGAACTCAGAGTTGTAAATAAGTTGTCATAGTTTGAATCATAAGCACAAAACCCTTTGAAGTTTTTCTGTGCAAGCCTCTTGAAAACAGTAGGAACTGCTCAAGGACTTAGTAGAGTTCCTGTAGACCTGCCATTCTTATTAATGATGCTTGCACAGAGTTAGGGTATCCTACTAATTTATTTACATTTTACATGACTTATAACCTGCCTTTCTCCCAACCAAATAAGACCCAAGGCGGCTTCCAACAAAAGATTAAAAACATCACACATAGAACAAGAAAACCCAACAAGAACAGCAAACAACACAGCATAAAGATGCAAAAATTGCCATTTACACCCACCCCAAATGCCATTCTGAATAATTCCACTTTATAAACCTCTTAAAAGGTACCAATACAGTGCATTCCTCATGGCATCAGGAAGACCATTAAACAGTATGGACACAGCCACAGTAACAGCTTGAGCCTGGAAAGCAGCAGTTCTCAGCTGCTTATACAACAGGATCAAGAGAGGGGAAATTGATGGGCTGACCAGAGATGCCACCAGCTGCTCCTCCTACTGCAATCCCAATGGTAAGTAGCTCACCTTGGACACAGAACTTTAGCTCTTTGGCATCTGTAACAACTGAGGATTGTAACTTTTCAGGTACTTTCTTGCTCATCCGGTTATAGCTGCGTTGTTTCTTGGTTTCCCCCCAGAGGTTGGAGCCTCCATACATGCTGGGAATGTTGAGGACTGCAATACCCTCCAAAGAAGTGCTACTCAGATCCAGAACTGTTCCATCACACTGGCAGGTAGGGAGGGAGAAAAATTTTTTTTAACAGGCATTGATACACATTGAACATACTGGGTTAGCATTTCTACAGTGTAATCCTAAACAGAGCTGCAGCCTTCTAAATCTTTTGAAGTCACTGGAATTAGAAGAGTGTAATTTTGCTTAGGACTGCATTCTTATTCATTAAATAAAAACTTTTACCTGTCCTAGGGCTGCCAACCTTCAGGTGGTGTCTGGAGAGCTCCCAGAATCACACCTGATACTCAGACTACAGATATCAGAAGATGGCTGCTTTGGAGGTTGGATTCTATGGTGTTATCCTCCACCAAGGTCTCTCCCCTTCCCAAACCTGCTTTCCCCAGGCTCCACACCCAAATCTCCAGGAAATTCCCAACCCAGAGTTGGCAACCCTAATCTCACCTTCCTAAAAATCCAAGGTAGTTCCTACTATACAACGTATACACAAACACAGTAAAATACCACTATGAGCATACATAGCACATAATCTCAACAATACAGGTTCGTGTTGTTTTTGAAATGGAAAGGCTTTGGAAATTATTCTGAATCTTGAGGACAATGCTGAAAAATCCCTGCTTTATTTTCAGCGTGCTTACTGCTAGAATTTCGAGTGAGGCCCTACTGGAAGATTTTTGTTTCTGTTTTCATATATGAATAGAAATTTTCTCACACCTATCTAGGGTTTTGAAGCTCAAAACCACCAGTTCGAATTAGGCCTAGAAAGAAACTTGAACAAAGAACAGTTGACATAAGATGAGCGAATAAGTTTCCACTTCCCTGCTCATGAGGTATGGCATTCTGTACCAGCTAAGTGCCATATTCAAGGGCAGCACTGAGTAGAAAACATTACAGGCGTCAGGATTATGGTGTCAAGATCCCTGTTTTCCAGGAAAGGTCCAGTTGGTTATCAGATGAAACTAGGGTTGCCAGGTCCCTCCCTGGCTCCTCTCTGGGAGCTTCAGGCGTGTGTGCTACACCATGCATGGCACGATGATGTCACCCGGAAGTGACATCATTGCAGTAGGCATCTCATGGGGGATGCTCTAGCATTCAGCAAAAAACTCTACGGTCACCATAGATTTTTTTTTTTTGCTGAATGCTAGAGCAACCCCCCACAACATGTCCAGTGCCATGGAGCTCTTCAGGGGCAGGGCTCCCCTGCTATACAGCTGGCCAGCGGGCAGATCAGGGGCCCTGAAATCGGGGGAACCCTTGCCTCCTTCGGGGGGGATGGCAACCCTAGATGAAACCATTAAAAAGTGTAACTGCTTTCTCCTTATCAGATAGTAATTTAAAGATGAGGGCTGCAAACTTCTTCTGACAAAGTTACTACCTTTCATCAATATCAGACACCTATTAGGAGTTTCATACCAACAACCATCTGTCTTAGATTTAAGCCATCCTTCCTTTATGGAGCTCAGAGTGGTGTACAGGGTTATTCCCACCCATTTTATCCTTAGAGAGATCCTACCAGGTAGGATAGGCTGAGAGTTAATTGGCCTAAGGATACCTAGGGAGTTTCATGGCTTAGTAGGAATTTGAACCCTGTTCTCCCTAGTCGAACAGTCTAGGCATTACTGAACACTGGCAACATCCAATACAGACCGATTTCCCACAAGCCACTGCTCTGCCCTCATCCTTCCCTTTCCCCCGATTGTATACGCCAATTTCCCACTATTTGCTGTGCAGCTGCATTTTGACCCACAGCTTCACCCGATTTTGCCCGTGTCTTCTGGATCCTAAAAAACAGGGAATTGGGTGAAGCTGTGGGTCAAACTGCAGCTGTGCAACAAATAGTGGGAAATTGACACATACAATCGAGGGAAAGGGAAGAACAAGGGCGGAGTAGCGGCTGTGGGAAATTGGTCCTAGTTTCAGTTCCATCCACAGTGAACAAGCATCCACCCTCTTCTTTAAAAACAAAAACAAACAAACAAAACACGTGAGGTGTCTCCCCCCCCCCCCTGGAATTCTGACACAGAGAACTGGTGTTCAACAGATACAGGTCAAATCCTTAAGCTATGGAAACAGGTCTTACTCAATGGAAGATAAGTTATTCTTTTTACCCTACAGCATCTTGATGCATTTGTGCATCTCCTGGATTTTTTTCTGGCTTTTCCACACTCTTTCCATTTCCCAAACCTGCTTAAATGCAGAGTTTTGGGAAAGATTGCAGCAAAGCATTGATGTGGGAAATTTTAGATTTTTCTGGTCCTGACCATAAGACAACAATTTCCCCTGCCCCATAGGGGCCAATTCCTCCCCCTGCCACTAAGGGACTTTTTGGCTTTATAAAATTGCCAATTGATCATCATTATAGTGATCTGTGGATCAGGTTCTCTGAATTCCAGCTTCATTTTAGGGAGTCTCAACTCCTTTCATTGCAGAGATATAAGAGGAAAGGCATATCGCTGTAATGAAAGAGAACAGAGACTTCTCAAAAAATGAAAACAGGGAATTTAGAGAACATGATACACAGTTGTTATACCTTTTGTAAATCGCTGTACTCACATGAGCTGCTGAATATAACACAAGTGCTTTATTGCAACCAACTTCAGACTAATACAGAAACTGAAACTAAGAAAAAGAGAACAGTCCAGGAGGGTGAAGTTTTCCTCCAACCCATAATCAGGTTCCAGTTAACTCTTTACTATCAATTTTACTATATTAACATTATAATGATATTCATTTTTTAAAAACCCTAAGAAATCCTGCTGGTGCAAGGGGCAGAAGATGGCTTCTGCTAGGGGATTGGGGAAACTTGCCATGTGGAATCCGTGTTGCCACTGTGTTCTGTTTAGGGATGCCAGCTGGCCAGTGGTGGATTGGGGCCCCTGAAATTGGGGGATGGCAACCCTAGTTCTACTGGCACTAGTGTGTCCCTGTATGGAAAACACCTCTGTATGCCAAAGGAAAATTTTACTGTTAGTGGAAAGATTCCATAGGATCCAACCCATTATAATCAGGGGTCATTTCCTGCAGGAGCGCACAGGAGCGGAGCTCTGGCAGTAAGAAGCCCAGGGGTGGGTACATGCAACAAGCCCCACCCCCTGCTCCCAGCAGCCCTCAGTCGGGCCATGAGGAACAAGAAGCAGCCAGGTAAATTGCAGAGCCCCCTCCCCTGCCTTCAGGTACAAGCTCTCCCTTCTCTGTAAGGGCAGATCTGCGTGTCCCCCCCCCCCAGCTAGCAATCCAAAACAGTCCAGTGGCACCTTTAAGACCAAGTTTTATTCCGGGATAAGCTCTCCCTCCTCTGCGAGGACAGATCTGCACGTTCTCCCCCCTCCCCAATAGCTAGCAATCCAAAACAGTCCAGTGGAGCCTAAGCGGTGGGTGTTGCCTTCTGACACACTTTCAGTGATGTCAGGGGGTGTGGGATATGCAAATAAGTTATGCTAATAAGTTACGCTAATGAGCTCCTGCACCTCTATTTCTACAAAAAGATCCCTGATAATTGTTCTGCAACATGTCTTCTCTTGGAGTCTGAAACGGAGCCATGTGGGCCCATGCAAGGTACACCCTGATGGGGCCTGGGCTGTTCTTCAGAAGGAAGCCCTGTAGGGAGGACGTGACCAGGCACCAGCAGGATAGGCTCAGGATGGCTGTCATGGGGCCTAGCCCCTGGGGAGGTGCAGGAGGCCAATGCCCTGGGCAGCCAGCTAATGATAAAAGTGCATTGCCATTGAGGGAAAGGACCTCAGCAGCATACCCACTGTCTGCCTGACATGCCTGGGCAGAGTAGCATTACAGGGTTGGGTACTAGGTGCCTCTCTGGAGTTTGGCTTGGAGTAGACCAGACCCTCCGCTAAGGCAAAGGGGAAATGGTGGGAAAGGGGGCACACATGCTCCCTGAGAGAAGTAGCATGCTTGTGTAGAGCTTGAACTGGGAAACCCTCCATGCTGGTACTTTATAATGTTGGACTTGGACATTTCAAAGGGCCGGGAGGCAGGGGCAGGCTATCAAGCCACTTCTCTGAACATCTTCTATGCCCCAACAGGAGTTGCTAGAGGTTGCCATGACTTCCAGGCACGGGCACACACACATATGAACACACAAACACAAAAATGCAAAAATACCCCAAAATAATTAAAAAAGGGAAAACATCAAGGTGGGCAGCCATGTTGGTCTGAAGCAACAGAACAAAGTTAGAATCCATTGGTGTGAGCTTTCGTATGCAAAGCACACTTTGTCTGACAATGAAATGGAATTACAGAATGATATATCGCCACTAACAAAGATCCGGATAGTGATTTCAGCAAAAGTGAACAGCTTTATTGAAGGTTCGAACAAGCGCTTGAATAAGTCATAACCAGAACAGTTTAACATTGTGACCTCTGCTCCTTTTAAACATTCCCAGGCTAACGTAGCCACGCCTCTGTACAATAAACAACCAATGAGGTTGTGCGGATAACATCCAATTAGAGTCTTTCTCTCACAGGGAACTGGTGCAATCCTGATTGGTCGCTGTTGTGAAGTGACCAATAGCATGTCGGTTCGGAGGAGTCTTACTCGGGCTCGAGCTTAACATGGGGAGTCAATACGGCGATTCATGTACTTTCAATATACTACACAGAACATCACTGATTCTCACTATTTAGGGAACATCAGTCTCCAATTCTAACATATTTATTACCAGTGTTGCCCCCCCCCAGTTGAACCTAAACAGATGTTAACCAGAAACCAAGCTTGTCATTCTTTTAATGTTAAAAAACAGCTCCACTATTTTGCATGCTAATTTAACAAGCCACTCTCTCTCTCTATCCAACTATATTCTGTAATTCGATTTCATTGTCTGACGAAGTGTGCTCTGCACACGAAAGCTCACACCTTGAATAAAACTGTGTTGATCTTAAAGGTGCTACTGGACTCTAAAGGAAAAACATGTTAGCTGTAGACTCCCACCTCCCATTGCTTGCTTGCCAGGAGAGTATGCTGGGGTATCCCAAGCCTCCTGTGGGGCCTGGATACAGTCCACAAATGACGGTATGAAGTG